GACGGGGGTTAATTGGAGTCTCTTATAGCAACTGACTGACAGCAAGCGTCGGGAAAATAAAAAGCCAATTCTGGGATTCGAACCCACCGTCTAACGATCTGATAATCGCGAGCTTAACCACTCGGCCACCTCAGAGATACTGCTTTTTGCTGTTCATATTAATTAAGGAGATAACAAAGTCATTCAACTTAATGCACAGAATGTTGCTGCGTAAATACTGAGTGATTGAAACGTTATCCGTCCTGAGCCGAAGTGCACCCTCACCGGCGAAAGAGAGACACGTGGTAATAAGTTTGGACCAAGATTCGGCCCAGCTTTACCCAATGAGAAGCAACATTGACAGGGGGCGAGGGGGAAGGCATGTTCCAACGAGATTTGTCCAGGATTGTAACTGTATGCGCTAGATTATTCCATATAGAGATATGCACAATCATGAATACTACATGCGGTATCCTCTAGTATTATCACAAAAACTACTCCCAGGCAGGCAGAATGGTTTGCATAGCTCAGTAGTTCGAATCCCGTCAAGGCAATATTTGCTGACATCTTTTATCTCATTAAATTTTATGTCAGTAAGATGTTTTTAGGTTTGTGCATTCTTTGCTATTTGGAAATTGTGGAAGTGTTCACACGGAAAAGGTCCAGCCACTTGGGCCTCGTGTAAAAAAAGGGGGGAGCATGCGATTTGTTGATAGGATTATGGTGAAAACTGATCTATTTGGATGAAAATAATGAGAAACTGTCGTGTCCCATATAATTGACCGAAATGAGAGTTTATCCTTTTTAAGGGGGTTTGAAAAATGACATTTAAGGTGGCCACAAATAAAGGTTTTCAGACCAAAGAAGGCTCCCCTAAAATACATCAAGAACAAAAATTTCAAAATGACCAGAAAACCTGCATTAACCAAGTAAATGGCTACAACCTAAAAAAATAAAAGTAACAAGGCACAGTACAATAGAATTCTTACCGAATTTCATAATTACAGATTTATTTTCTTTTTCATGTCGGAGGCGGCTTGATTTATACATAACAAGTGGCAAACGAAGATTTTGTATAGAAAAAAAAAGAAAATTCCTTATGCTAGCTACAAAAACCTGCCAATTTTCCCCCCCGAGTCTGTCTTCCCACTTTGCTTTCCAATGAAGATGGATGGGACCAGAGATGTCTCCATTGGACCAACAAAAAACACACATTACACATTTATTCTGATGCATTATACATTTTCAACCTCAACATGTTAGATTTGTTATACTGGAAACCACAGACAAAATCCGATTTCTTAATGCACACATTTGCTCGCAGACTGCATCTGTACTCCATCAGTACCTATGCCTTTCCAAGTATTGACCTTCCATCTTAGACACAGGTAATTACTTGGCATGATAGATTTAGAAGTTGCACATGTACAACTGTAGCTTATCTTTCCACCGCAAAAACTAAAGGAAATAAAACTTTAAAGCCATTTTGAACATCATTACAAAGAAAAACAATGTGAATACCAACTCAGTCTAAAATCTTTCCAATAAAACTAACTTCTGCCACTTGCTGTGAAGTTTTGATTTATTAACATCCTCAAAATTGCCCCCCAACAATGCCAAGTTAACCACCATTTTACTTCTTTCTACCTATAGCTTTTACCACGTTAACAAAAGAGCCACTTTCAGAAGTCCACCCTATCCGTGTTTTTACCACCAATTGTATTGTGAAATTACACAGGGGAGAAGTTTGAATAGTTGGAAGAATCACACTTGAAATGACCGTTGCAAAAATTCCAAAATTGTACCAAAAAGAAAAAAAAACACCTAAGTGAGCTAGAATAAAAAAGACGTGGCAGAACCTCTCAAGTACAATCCGTCATGTGGCTATCCCTGCACATCCCCCTCACACCCCCCAAAAGGGTTTTAAGCTGCCTCAGTGAGGTCACAAAGTATGGGAACCATGAATCAGTCATGGGCAAACTTCAAGGTTTTTCCCTGACGGGAGACACTCAATTTTCCTGTGGGAATGGTGAAACGAGTTCAAGTGACCTCCTGGATAAACTGACAAAAAAGTGCTTAGCACCAGTGGTGGGACATCTTGGGGGGGGGGGGAAGACAGAGCACAGTATCAGTCATTTCTGTTTCTCCGCCCTAGCCCCTACAAAATGGTCTTTTCATAGTAACCTGACTGGGATCACATAATGAATATTTATTAGGAGGGGCCTTATAAATATGCATGTTTGCAATCAATATGTACCCTTAAGGGAGAAACTGACGTGTCTTTCAGCAGCTTATTTTAAGATTACGGTGAGCAACACGTTAATTGTACGTGCAACATACGCCGCCTGGACTTGAAACTGAACTCTGATTTGTGTTGTTACCCAAATTAGACTGTGAACTGAGATGCAATTACAAGGCACTGCAGCTGTAACAGTAACATTGCAGTACTTGGTCTCAAGAGTACAGCTGTCGCAAGTTTTTCAGTTTCAACAGCAGCTTCCAGCAAATGTGCAGCGATCATATCTGTATACGTGAAACAGAACTCGTCACATGATGGTGGTTAACAACTACTATCTCAATGGGAGATGCTGAGACACGGTAAATGGCTCTTCATGTACAGAACATCTACTCCATTATAAACAAGGGTTTGCCATATTTTACATCATTTTCACCATTGCTCACCAAGCAATGCGTACAGAAGGTCTATATTTTGGCCGGTACAAAGCATAACATAGTGTAAGTAGTGATGCATTGAGGCCTTTGTGTTAATTAGCATGCCTGATTTAAGCAGGTGGGTGAAGACACCATGCTTGTGCCTTGGGTGTTTCCCATACAGTGACAATATTGTAGGAACGTGTCGTTTCTCCAAGATTGAGCTTCAAATTTTTGTCCATATGAGAAGTGTGCGACTGAATTTTGCTGGGTGATTCAAACACTAGCCACGCTGGTGCTCTCTTAATACTCCGGGTTTGCCCTGCACCATGCACTGCACAAAGTGGAAGTCTGTCGATTGCTACAACGCTGGAATGCGCAACTCGAGACAGTCTTAATGTTACTGGCAGCCGACAAAGTTATCGTCTACAACTGAACATGCTCCCCGTTCCCTCTGCCGGGCCCCCCCAAAAGAAACCTGACATGTTCCCGTTCAAAAATAAGAGAACAATAACTGAAAGAGTCAACAACTATGAACACAAGTTGCTACATCGAAACAAGCTTTGGCACTTGACAGAAACTACTGTGAGTGGATCCCACAATATGAATCTTTAGTCATTTGCACTTAGTGAATGTCACACGTTTACATCGGAGCATACTCAATTCCTCATTCTGAGATTCTGAGAATATGATGGGGGAGAAAACACTGGAAATGCCCATCAAATGCTACTTGTGCAAGGCTTAAACAAGAGTCACAGGAAATCGAATTTTTGGTGTATTGGGTCGTATATGGTCAACCTTTTCTTTTTATAAATACATATATATTTATGCCGTACACAGAAAGACAACAAAATGCTAGATTCTTCGCGACAAGGTCCTGTCCCATTATTTGGTTAATGTCACTTCGAGTGACTGGACGTCACTTAAACAAACCGACCGACACAAAGCAACAATATATATGGGGAGGTAGAGGGCTTCTCTAAAAATAAAAAAAAAAAGTGGATAGATGTAAGCCACTGTAATTAATAAAGATTGCTAGCTTTCGGGATACACAGCTGAAGCACCAAAGGCCTTGAAGCTGCCGTTCCAGTGGGCCTCCACGCATACGTAATAAAATGGGTTCATGATTTGGCCGGAGATCTGGGCCCCATCCTCCTATGCAATACGAAGTCGGTATCCGACGGGAGGATTATTATGGTAGAATTCATTTCAAATCTTAAACATTCAGCAGGTCCTCCAACTGCTGAAGACTCCACGTACTTCTTCCACATCTCAACCAGGCAGTTGATATGATTGAAAATTAAATTGTCTACGACTAGAAAGTAAAGGTAAGAGTTTAATCTTCCACGGTAAACTAGAGAAAATCAATCTACTGACGATGTCTCTGCAAGATGAGATGGAGTTTTAGTGTCCGGGCACAACGTACACATGCCAGAGGCAGTTGCCTTGATTTCTCAAGAAATGTGTACCTCCATAAAGAAACTGACATCAAATAAAGCAGTCAGTAAAACATGGAGCTCGGGTTGTATTGAGAAAGTGAACCACCCCCATCTTTAAAAAACAAAATCCAATTTGTCTTCACGTAAGCATTGATGACATTGAGGCATAGTGTCTGTTGTATCTCCTTGGTCAACTAAGTGGGCTGTGTGCGCAGTTTCCACAGCCATGGATGAATGTTTGTGCTGTTTGCAACAAACACACCTTAACACATTAGAGGTTTTGCATGGTAGCCATCTTGCAGGGCAGTCCAGCTGTTCCACAGGGAAGCCTTCTTTGTGCATCCCCTGTGGAACAAAAGGGCTGACTTGCAAGACGTTAGCCATGCAAACCCTCCAATAAAGCACAGGCATACAAAGCAACAAAATTTAAAGGCAATATCCCCTCTCAACTTCACTTGACGTTCTGCTCTTGTGCTCCAAGCCACGGCCAAAGGCCTTGTACAAATGGGCACAAAAGGTTCTAATACAAGAACTCTGGTTACTGGCAAAAATTTCGTGACATAATATAACTGTGACAGGTTTTAACCTGCAGCTGCAGGGCCAAACTATTACCCTCTAACTGTGCCAAGAGCAGCCAGTTTTCTGTAATTTACATGGCATCTGGAGGGTTCCAGTTGACACAGCTACCTACAAAGTGCTCTGCTTGGACATATATGCTTAGCACAAGCGACCAGCCACGATGGCACACACAGTATAGACCTTTGCACTGGTTCTTAAGCATCCCAGCAGAGTTTTGCTGAGCATAAAGCATTGTAAACTTGCTACACATTGAGTTCTGATTGATGCTTCGAGTGCAGTTTTTCCCCTCAGCAAAAGAATTCAACTGAGAGCCTTCACAAAATCACGCTCAATGGTTTTACTATAAAGCCACCAGTTCTGTGTCTGGCAAATCGGCATGTTTTAAGCGGGCAACCCTACAGGCTCGGGAGGAAGGAGGGAAGCGGGAGGGTTTCTGTTTAAAGCTAAACATTCTTATCAAAATTTCACAAGATGATAGATACATTTTTACGGCAGAAAAGCAAAGATAATTTTGAAGGGGTCGAAGAATCAAAAAACCAACGGTAACGTCTCACTGTGAAACCCACGTTCACTGAACTGGAGCAAAAAAATTAAGAACACTGTGCCACCGGGCAACACGTAGAGAAAAAAAAAAAATCCACGAAAATATTAACAAAAATAGACTTAACACTATGATTACTATAAACTCGCTTGTCGTATCTACTTAACAGGATGTTCGGCTTGGATGAGACAAAATAACTGACTCAGTGACAGGCAACGTAGGATACTCACTCAAATTATTCAGGACAGGGTATTGTAATATTCAGTTTCCTTTACACTGTAGACGACAACAGAAAAAAAAAAACAAGGAAGAAAATTTGGGCATGAGATATAAAACGACCCGGAAGTTATTCGGGATTGGGTTTTTTTGCACGAAAAATAATGTTTAGGTTTTTCTTAAATATCTACAGCTGATCAGTGAAAACCATTGCTGTTGTTTTCGGGGAAGGCTAATTCAGGATGTCAAGTCGCGAGGGATAATAAGAAACCGAGAGGCATGAGAACCTGCCATCTTCGGCTGGCTGTCGGTTGTCTCCGAATTCTTCGCAGGCCTTCATTCTGCCTCAGAGGTGAGCGTTCTACTTTGCCCATCACCGGACTCCTCCTACTCTCACAGTAAATGCCTGTTATGTGTGGTTGCCTCAGGATTCCTTCCAACATTTTTGTGTTTATTATTTTGTTTTATGATATAGTTATGTACATTCACCTAGCAGACGCAGCGGCTGCTAAGGGAGGCTAATACTATGTCATGTAGGCGTTCTCATTCCGTAGTTTCTCTAAGTCTTTCTCTTGCTGCCGTAGAAATAATATTCTGCAAAAGAAACAGAAAGCACAAAAACGGAACCATTTTTAGGGTCTGTTGTACCCCTGATGGGTAAATGATGTACAAGTAACGGACGCTTCTAAGGTGAACTAATGGAATAGATCATTCTGTCACATCAGGAACTTTTTTCCATTGCAAGGATTTGAATCATTCATTGTTTGCTTTGTACAACACCTGAATAAATCCTGTGAGTACAAGTTTCTGTTTGGGGTAAAAGCTTGACACGAAGTCCCAAGCTGCAACTGAAATTTTGTCTGCTTGTGTGAAGAGCTGACTGCCCCTCCCATACAGGCTCAACAGTATAGATGAGGGTATTACACCAAATAAGACAATAACGCTGGATTGATGACCCAATCTGGGGATTTATGCAGGTG